CTATTTTAGTATTTTGTCGAAAGCGCTTTTCTGAAGTACTTTGTACAACTAAATAAGATTCTTTTCACAACACTTAAATATCTACTTTATTTTCTTCATTTATAGAGAAAACAGTTAGGTTAAAAAACATTTCGCTAAAAGAAGAACGAATTCTAAAAGAAATAAAAATAAACAACTTAAAAAATAAAAATGCTGTTGCCAGCTGCCGAATTTTTTGAAAGTTAACTTAGCAACATAAATCAAAATAACATAGAAGCGAGCGCCAGCGAGTAGGGGGCGAAGCTTCCTAGTAATATAATAATACCTGATGTAACAAATATTCTATATTTATATAACAGATCGTCTCATTCATTCAATCGTCAAGCTTATGTTATATATCGTCTACTTTAACCAATTGATACACTAACGTAAACAAGTTCAAACCGGTTTCAGTCACGTAAAAACAATACAGCTCTGTAGTATCAGCTGATAATTAAGATTCTACATAGAATCTTATAGTGCGTCTCATAATGTGGGCAGGTACTGTATATTCAGAGTATTTATTGCATGTGAAGTTTAAAAATAGGATTTTCATTTAAATCATGTAACTAAAGGGGGAAAAAAATAGGGAAATGTTATATTTGTAAATTAACTGGGAAAATTCAAAATTGTGTTCAGCCTTCGCCACCCTCATTATCTAGAATGGAGTATCCAATTTCTAGATGAACAACATTAAATTGTAATGATGGTTTGTAAATGCATTTCTAACAAGTTGCACATGGGTGCTTCTGATTAAGAAAAATATGAATTCATTGTGGCAAATTCATGTTCATCAACTTTCTTGATAATGAAGTCTAAAAGTTTCGTTATTTGACTGTATCCATAGTATTTGAATCCATAGTATTTTTATTTATTTTTTTCTGCTGGAGGGCATATACAGTCAGACCCCGATTCAGCGGATTCATAGGGACTGAAAATATTATTCGCTAAATCGGAGATAATGCGTAATATCGCAAATGCACTAAATAAATAAAAATCTTGCAATTTTTTATTCCGGAATTTGAAATACAACGAATGATTACGCACTGATTCATTTGAGATTTTAAAAGCATATCGTGAGTAAGGTTTGCTTAATTTCAAACCTTAAAACGTTGTTTTCTAACGTCATGAAGAGAAGAATATTTTCCTCTTCATTTACATTACCTCATTACGTTACTTCATTAAGTTTTCACTGACAGCATCAGAAAATGTATTTCAATGAAGATTGACTTCTCTGTTGCTATTCTTTGTTTCTTAAAAAATCTACTTCATAAAATTCGTTAAATCGCGAAAATTCAGTAACTGGAGGTTCTTAAAAACGAGGTTCGACTGTAGTTTTGAAACACACTCTCCGCGTATATTTTTAAAACCTTCCTAAATACGTAAAAAGTATTTACGTTGCTATGTCTAATGATATATTATAAATGAGATTATTTTTGTCACCAGTTTTGACTATTTTTTTCATTTTTTTGTGTATACTTATACAGAATTTAAAACTATAATTTCAATTTAATATTTTATTTTCTGACAGAAATAAATTGCGCTTATATTTTGATAACAGTGATTCTGTTTTGCAAATATTTATATATATTTTTTGTGCACTTTCCAGTCTACTACTATTAAAAGTTAAAAATAAATAACAAATTAACTCTCGATAATAATTCAAACACTTACTAGTGCTGTTTTTTCTAACATTCATATCTTTAGAATTTCGTTTTTGCTTCATTTTTTTCTTCTAACTTTTTACTTAAATTGCTTACTTAAGACAAATTTGGTTTTTAGCTGCGTTTAGCACTTTTTCATTTTGACTTATTATTCAAAATTTTCTTTTCTTAAGGTTCTTGGCTTAAAATTTGCTTAAATCAATTTCATACTTTTGTTGGACTATTATTAAGACTCAGAAAGAGAGCAAATTGAAGATTTTTAAAAACTGATAACTCTTTTGTATATTAATTGCTTAAATATTATTTTTTGACTTCTAACGAGGAATTTTTCTTTTCAATTTTTTTTGTTTCCACATGTTTTCAAGCATATTTTTTCAATTACAATCAATGATTAATAGAAATTTTATCTCAATTTTAGCTCTTAAACCGCTATAAAATCATCATTAAAATAAAATAAAATATGAAAAAATCTGAAAATTTTAATGGAAATTATGATCTAAGCTAAAAAAAAACAACATAGAAATTCTGGGAAAAAGGAAATAGTGTTTAATTTTTAAATTAAATCATGTTAAAAAAAGAGCTTTGTTAAAAAAAAATTTACGTTATTTCTTAAAGCAATTTTTTATATTTCTTTATTACTTAATTTCGATTTTACACTTCTTTCCTTAACACTTCTTCTTGATATTGCAGAGATTTTTTTATTATTAGCTAATAAAGTTATCAAAATATTTAACTTCCTTTGATAAATACTTTTCTTTTTAAATTGCAAATATATCTTAGGTTTGTGAAATTTTAAAATTCTTAACTATCAAATTTATTTTTTTATAAAAGTAAATTAGAATATATTTTAAAATTTTTTAAATAAGTTTTGCTTGCTTATTATAGATGTAACACTTTTTGCACTCTTATTAAAATATAGGAAATTCAGTTTATAAAACAAATTTAACTATTCATTATGCNTTTCATAATTTAAGCATGGTAAAAGTATATATGAGTATAATCTTCATTCATACCATTAAATCTTATTTCAATTTTCAGATAAATTAAAATTTAAATTTATAAAATATGGGTAAGCAAACAAATTAAAAAATGCTGCAAATTAGTTTTTGTGTGTGTGTGTGTAAAAGGTGAAATACGCAACTATTATGACCTTAATTACAATCAAGCTATCGAAAATTACTTACTTTCATTCAAATTATTATTTTTAATTTGGACATAGTGGCGAATGGAATAATTATAATAATCTCATAAGTAACGCAGACGTTAAAGTAAGGTTTAATTTTAAAAACTATTATAATGTTTAAAATATAGAGTGAGTCAAATACAAGATTTAATACAATATGTATTAAATCTTATGCAAATTATCACTTCTTTAAAAATAGAAGGAAAAGAATGGAATACATCGAATGTAATCCCACATATAACATCCATCAAATATTGTTTTAATTATCTATTTTTTAAATTTAAAGTTAGCTAAATATGGAATAAATCAAATTTTTTTACATAAATATAATGTTTTTAAATAACATAATATTTTCGTCATTAAAATTGTCACATTTAAAAAATAATAATTTTAGCTTAGTCAAATTTAGACAAACCAAATATAAGGTCTTTAATATTAATTGTGTTATTTTTGTTTTGTTAATAACATCGAAAAGTTTTTAAAGATTGAAAATTGAATAATTCTAAATAGAAATTTCACAGTATTAGGAATTAAACTTCTCAAAAAATTTTTTTACCTCGAACATAAAAGAAAAAAATACATGGAATAAAAATTATTACTATAAGCTTCATAATGAAGGTATATTGTTCAAAAATAAGAGTGATTTCAAGAAGAAAAAAAAATTCTGGTACAATTACCATACTGTATTGTAATGAAATTTCTGATGGGAAAAAACATAATTCTAGTATTAAAAATCGAAATAAACGATATTTAAACTATTAATTAGTTAATTTTTCCGTTCAAATTGTAACGGTTTACCGGAAATTCTGGTTCTTAAAATTATAGTTATTACTACTACAGATTTAGTAAAATATACAAAACTGAAAAGTTAATTTAAGCAAATTGAGGGTTTTTATTCCTTGCAAAATCACCACATTTTACCGTACTTACCAAATGTTATCACATATTTTACGAACGTTTTGAAACCTATTGCTGATAGTATTCAACATTAATTTTAAAAACACATTTTGAGGAATCTTAAATAAGACAAGGCTATTTTTTCTTCTTCTTCCTGATGTTTCTATAACTGACAAGTGGAGTGTCACTTAAAATGATTTTCTGAACTCTTAAATTGTAGTGTTTATTTTCTTGATTACTTTTAAATGCGGACTAGCAATTAAGAATACTTAGGACCTGGAGCATTTAAATTACAGAGTACTCAAGAAAAGCAACATTCTTAAAAATATCATAAATATATTGGATCGGAAATATTAATTAAAAAAAATTAATCTCTTTAACAAAGATATGAATTTCCATCCTTTCTGGTTTAACGTTGAATACCTTGAATCATGTATTCAGGTGGTAAAATGAACTAGAGTTTAACCTTTAATTTTTATTTTTAATAATCTTTTGAATATGCATAGTAAATGAGAGAAAAAAAAACATATTGATGTGTTTCGAATTCATCATGAACAATACTGCAAATTCGTGTACAATAATTTCAAACATAATCACTTTTCATATAAATAATCGCTTTCAAACGTAACTACTATTTATCTAAATAATCGTTTTCAAAAACTACTTTTTTCTAAATAATCGTTTTCAAACATAGCGACTTCTTATGTAAATAATCACGAGTTTAACCCTTAATTTTTATTTTTAATAAATAATCTTTTGAATGTGCGTAGTTAATGGGGAAAAAAAAGCATATTGATTTATTTCGAAAATCACCATGATAAAGATTACAAATTCATGTACTATGATTTCAAACTTAATTACTTTTTATATCAATAATAGTTTTCAAACATAACGACTTTTTGTACAAATAATTGTTTTAAAATATAACTTTTTTTAATGTAAGTAATCGTGACACCCTCCGAAAAGAAATTGTGCTCAGCGCGTGCGCCAATGATGAAAATTGTCGCAGATAAAGAAATAAACTGACCAAGATACTAGATGTGTTCTGTAATAAATAAAATAGTTTTGGTGAAAAGTAAGCAAAACAATAAATAAATCTCTAAGCTCCATTAGAGGGATATGAGGTTTTAAACATACTATACAGATCTATGTACCATGTAAGCTTTAATTTGCCTGATAGTTGATTTAGCGACATGTCATATACTGATTATAAAGTGGATGATAGCAAATTTAATTACCTGTGTGGATTCTAACGTGTCCTTTTAACTGTCCATTATTGCTGAAAGACACTTGGCAGTGAGGACACTGAAATCTCTTGGGCCTTTGCTTTTTGGTCTTGGGTTGCTTTAGAAGGTGGTTTAGTTGATGAGATGAGATGTCCCAGTGAGGCTGAGTCACTTGGAAAGCCATCACGGGTTCCACAGTCGTCGTCTGATGCTGCTTGGTCTTCAACTTGAATGCTGATGGCGCCCACAAATCGCTGGACGATACTTCTTCAGTTGCTGATTTTCTCAGGGAATCCCCCAAAGCCCACGGACGGAAGAGGGGTGTCCGATTGCGTACCTGCTTGAAAGCCATGGGGGTAGTCGCGTGACGAAAAACCTCTCGAAATAAGGCACTTATGGGGATCTTGTTTCCAAAGGGTCTCTAAGAGCAGATGGTGATACCCATTGAAGAATACTATTCACACAACAATGCTATGCCACGAGATTGAGATTGGCTATTTGACTCTTTACCCCCCATCCATTCCTTGTTCAACCCCCCCTCTTTTTATTCCGCCCCTTCTTGTGATGGATGAACGGGCACATTCTGTAGTAGAAATCGAGGATCGCTCATGCTAATAGTGTTGGATGTTTTTAATAAGCATGTGATAAATGTGCAAACATCATTCCCCATCTCACTACACTTCAATTTCGAGTTTCATTTTGTTAAAAATAATGCTTCTTATAATCTGATATGAAACTAAATTGTTATCCTATTTATTTTGAAACATTAAGTGTTTTCGTATTTAGTCTAAATTAAGATTTTCTTGCAAATAATTTTTAAACATATAATTAGTCGAATTCAAAACTGAGTTCTTTCTCCAAATTGATGCTGAAATTTCAAACGCTGATCAAAGGCTTTGAAATTTCAAAAACGCTGGCATAAGTTATTTTCTTTCAATTTACAATTTTTCTTTCAACCTATTAAAAAAAAAAGTTCCTAAACGACTATGGAAATAACTGATCTGATAAATCCTGTAACCTCACTAACTGGAAACTTCCAATCATTGTGTTTTCTCCTCTTCTTTTAAACTATTTCCAATTATGGTTATAATTTTCTTCTTCTTTTTTTTAAATGGGAAAAAGGTTGGGGGGGGGGACGTTATGGTGAATGTTGCATTTGAAATTTCGGACTTAAATAAGATCAAAATTCAATTGCTTTTAAATAAAAATTTATATATAAAAAATAAAATAATGAAAATTTAATAATTTTACTGTAAAAGTTTTTTTTTTTAGAATATGTGCAAATTAACAAATTAAATGTCGTCTTTATTATTTATAAGGCGCTCCCATTTCTCAATCATCCTTAAAATATGATAAATATTTATTTTATTCCAATTTAAATGAAAACAAGCGAAATTTCTTTCTGCATAGTTTTTCATTTGACACCTGGCATTATCGCATTCAATAAATTTTTTGTTCATTGGAAAATTAAACAGAATTTATAAGACATTGACGTATTACGTTTTATTATTATTTATGTACCACCACACATAAATTTTTTCTTCTTTTTATGGAAGCAGCAAGATTTTTGTGCATCGCAAAGACTTTTTATAATAAATCAGAGGTGAGAGATTAATTTTTACACCTAGAGATGTCGTCATGCAGTTCAATAAATACATTAATTTGGAAGGTCTCTTCACCAAATAATATTTGTATTTAAAGTAATGTTTTATTGAAAAATGAACTACAAATGCTCATTATCTCAAAGTAATATTGTATAGAAATAAATATTTTTTGCAAAAAGCTCAACAATTTGTATTTATTTTATTTCTTATTCAGTTTTATTTATTAGTTTTCTTTATTCATAATTTTTTTTGTTGTTTAATTTGAAAACTAACTTAAAAGTTTTCTCCAAATTGTCAATATAAATAAATATGATATATTTTCAAGTGCTTCGTCCACAAACAGGTTTCAAATTTTGAAATTGCCCAGTATTGAAACTTAAAAAAAAAAAAATTTTTTTTTTTGAATGCAGCACTATTAAAATATTTTAGACTCTACTGTACAGTCCCTAGCCGTAGACTCACTCTAAGATTCTATGTAAAATTATAATTATCAGGGGATACTATACAACTGTACTCGGAGGAAACCTGTTTGCACTTGTTTACGCTCCTATATCAATGGGTTAACATTGTAATGCAGCACGTTAAAAATAGATACAAATAGGAAGCATATAAAAGTCTCCTGAATAAAAATCCATGTATGTTTCAATATAAAAGTATTACATATAAACAGCAAATCATGTCATTATTAAAAATCCACAGTGCGTCTAATAACTTGATCTAATTATTATAATATACCCATATAATGCTTTATCTAATAAATATTCTATATTTAATATAATATATCGTCTAATTTATCCTATTGTCAAATTTATATTATATATCGTCTAATTTATCCTATCGTCAAATTTATATTATATATCGTCTAATTTATCCTATCGTCAAATTTATATTATATATCGTCTAATTTATCCTATCGTCAAATTTATATTATATATCGTCTAATTTATCCTATCGTCAAATTTATATTATATATCGTCTAATTTATCCTATCGTCAAATTTATATTATATATCGTCTAATTTATCCTATCGTCAAATTTATATTATATATCGTCTAATTTATCCTATCGTCAAATTTATATTATATATCGTCTAATTTATCCTATCGTCAAATTTATATTATATATCGTCTAATTTATCCTATCGTCAAATTTATATTATATATCGTCTAATTTATCCTATCGTCAAATTTATATTATATATCGTCTAATTTATCCTATCGTCAAATTTATATTATATATCGTCTAATTTATCCTATCGTCAAATTTATATTATATATCGTCTAATTTATCCTATCGTCAAATTTATATTATATATCGTCTAATTTATCCTATCGTCAAATTTATATTATATATCGTCTAATTTATCCTATCGTCAAATTTATATTATATATCGTCTAATTTATCCTATCGTCAAATTTATATTATATATCGTCTAATTTATCCTATCGTCAAATTTATATTATATATCGTCTAATTTATCCTATCGTCAAATTTATATTATATATCGTCTAATTTATCCTATCGTCAAATTTATATTATATATCGTCTAATTTATCCTATCGTCAAATTTATATTATATATCGTCTAATTTATCCTATCGTCAAATTTATATTATATATCGTCTAATTTATCCTATCGTCAAATTTATATTATATATCGTCTAATTTATCCTATCGTCAAATTTATATTATATATCGTCTAATTTATCCTATCGTCAAATTTATATTATATATCGTCTAATTTATCCTATCGTCAAATTTATATTATATATCGTCTAATTTATCCTATCGTCAAATTTATATTATATATCGTCTAATTTATCCTATCGTCAAATTTATATTATATATCGTCTAATTTATCCTATCGTCAAATTTATATTATATATCGTCTAATTTATCCTATCGTCAAATTTATATTATATATCGTCTAATTTATCCTATCGTCAAATTTATATTATATATCGTCTAATTTATCCTATCGTCAAATTTATATTATATATCGTCTAATTTATCCTATCGTCAAATTTATATTATATATCGTCTAATTTATCCTATCGTCAAATTTATATTATATATCGTCTAATTTATCCTATCGTCAAATTTATATTATATATCGTCTAATTTATCCTATCGTCAAATTTATATTATATATCGTCTAATTTATCCTATCGTCAAATTTATATTATATATCGTCTAATTTATCCTATCGTCAAATTTATATTATATATCGTCTAATTTATCCTATCGTCAAATTTATATTATATATCGTCTAATTTATCCTATCGTCAAATTTATATTATATATCGTCTAATTTATCCTATCGTCAAATTTATATTATATATCGTCTAATTTATCCTATCGTCAAATTTATATTATATATCGTCTAATTTATCCTATCGTCAAATTTATATTATATATCGTCTAATTTATCCTATCGTCAAATTTATATTATATATCGTCTAATTTATCCTATCGTCAAATTTATATTATATATCGTCTAATTTATCCTATCGTCAAATTTATATTATATATCGTCTAATTTATCCTATCGTCAAATTTATATTATATATCGTCTAATTTATCCTATCGTCAAATTTATATTATATATCGTCTAATTTATCCTATCGTCAAATTTATATTATATATCGTCTAATTTATCCTATCGTCAAATTTATATTATATATCGTCTAATTTATCCTATCGTCAAATTTATATTATATATCGTCTAATTTATCCTATCGTCAAATTTATATTATATATCGTCTAATTTATCCTATCGTCAAATTTATATTATATATCGTCTAATTTATCCTATCGTCAAATTTATATTATATATCGTCTAATTTATCCTATCGTCAAATTTATATTATATATCGTCTAATTTATCCTATCGTCAAATTTATATTATATATCGTCTAATTTATCCTATCGTCAAATTTATATTATATATCGTCTAATTTATCCTATCGTCAAATTTATATTATATATCGTCTAATTTATCCTATCGTCAAATTTATATTATATATCGTCTAATTTATCNACTGAATAGCAGCACTTGAAAAGTGCCAAATTCGAATTTGCACAAAGTAGTCCCACATGACGGTATAATACCTAATATAATAAATATTCTATAATTATATAATATATCGTCTACGATCGTCGAATTTGTATTATATATCTTCTACTTCAACCCATTGATACGCGAACGTAATAATTCACGTGATAATTAATCACGTGACATTAAATCACGTGATAATTAAGATTTTACATAGAATCTTAGAGTGCGTGTCATAATTTGACCAGGAACTGTACATTAAGTAATTTAAAGTATAAAATGATGAAGCCCCTTTTTTTTTTTCAAAATGAAAACAAATTGTAGCGGGATATTTATCCTGCTATTATTATCCTGGTTGATTTTATTATCTTCTTATTCTTTTCGCTAGAATGTCTTTTAAACCACATTCGAGTAAAATTCTTCCTTTTTAGGGTATTCATTGAAACTATTACTGCTTATCAAAAACAAGATTAAAAAGAAAATATTTATGCCATGTGTTACAGAAATGATTTATCAGCATTTATTTCTTTTAAACTTTATCGATGACATGTTCGGTAGTTAACAATTTCTTTTTAAAAACTTAAAACTAAGATTAACTGTGAAAGTGAAAAAGAAAAGTAAAATCCTTAGTATTTTACAGTTAATATATTGAATATAAGATAAGGTTTTTCATATTTTAGATTTTGAAAGTTTTGTGACAGACTTATGTACAAAAATTTAGGGATTTTAAATTTAGAGATTTTTTGGTAATAAAACAAATTTTATGTTAACAGTTATCTTGATTATTTTTCTTTGGATATAGGCATACAAACACTAACTAAAAGAATTCAC